ACAAGTTTCTTAGTAGGGAATGGAGCAAGAATTAGGTTTTGGGAGGATGATTGGGGTGGGGTAGGCAAGCTGAATGAGTTGTGTCAAAGGTTGTATAGGTTAGCTGATGCTGAAGTTTACTGTTCTTCACCATTATGAAAGAAGGGGAGAACAACTAGCTTGGTAACCAAAGTATAGAAGGCCTTTGTTGGATAGAGAGGTTGATGAATGCATTGCCTTGTTGGACAAACTAGAGAAGGTGAAAATTTCAGATCAGTCAAGGGATGAACTATGGTTGAAAGAATGCTCAAATGGGAAATTTTCTGTGAAATCCTGCTACCTTACTCATTGTAGGGACCATTCGAGTTCAATCAAGCTGAAGGTGTGGAGAAATCCAGTTCCCCCTAGGGTTGAAGCCTTTGCATGGCTTGTGGCCATGGGCAGCATTCTAATTGTAGTCCACCTGAAATCTAGAGACTTCAATACGGCTAACATGTGCTTCCTTTGCAAAGAGAAAGAGGAAACTATTTGCCATTTGTTTTTCTCCTGCAAGATTTCTGGTTTTTTGGGGGTTGTTCACTGCTATGTTCGGGGTAAGAGATTTTCAACCAAGAACACCTGCAGAAATTTTTTCTTCTTGGCCAAAGATGAGAGGAAGCATGCGCTCTTCTTTTTTATTATTCTAAGGGCTGATCAGAGAGGGTTGTTGAGAGGGTGGAGAGTAGGAAGAGATGGTGTGCCTATTACCCATTTACAGTTTGCAAATGACACCATTCTTTTTTGTGAAGGAACCGAGTTGGAATGGGTAAGGAACATGAAGCTTTCAGTGCAGCTTTTTGAAAGGATGTCAAACCTTAGGATCAATTTTGAGAAAAGTTGCATAGTGGGAGTCAATATGGGAGAAGGGGAATTGGCAGAATGTGCAGAGATTATAGGTTGTAGTGTCGGGTCGTGGCCTTTGACCTAACTAGGTTTGCCCCTTGGAGCTAACCCAAAAGAAGTTGGTTTCTAGAATCCAGTCTTAGAAAAGTTCTCCAAAAAGTTAGCTGGCTGGAAGAAAGGGTATTTGTCGTTAGGGGGCAGGATTACAACAATGATAAGCTCAACACTAGCCAACTTGCCTGTCTACTATTTGCCAGTTTTCAAGGCTCCAGTCACCATAGACCACACTCATTTGTTTGCTATGGTCATATGCATCTTTATTTTTTAAGTAAATTTTCTCTTTTCTTAGTGGCCGTTTGTAATTAAATGCTAGAATTAATTATTAAAATTTATATACTAATAAATATTAATATAAATTATATTGATTATTTGAAAATTAATATATATACATACACATTTTTTAACATATTAGCTATTCCATCATTTTTCAACAGATACTAATTGTGTCCTGATATCTCACACTTTATATAAACCATTAAATTATGTTTTTTTTACAATTATATAACTTATTTAGAATCATATAAAACTTGCAATTATTGTTATTAATTAAATTTTTCGGATTTACTTGAGTTTCTTAGCATATTTAGGCATATCCTGATTTTTCGTCTGTATCCATGCATATCCCGATACGTCTCTTAAAACTGTCTTTCTGGTACACCTTGCATTTCCGATACTTTTAACCTTGTATGTAACTAGTAGTTTTTGTTGAATTTTTGTATGTGGGTGATACCTTATCACCTGTTAGATTGTATTGTCTTTTTTCTATTAATGAAATTTTATTTTTACCATCAAAAAAAGAAGCTTTGCACGAGTTTTCAAACTTCATTTCTCATGCATTGCACAGGTTTTCCACTAGTGTAACATTATTGGAAGCATTCCTTTTGTTGATGAAGAGAAGCAAATCATATTCCAGATTTATTGTATAACATGGTAGAATCTTCATTAAAAATAAAAAGGTTATTACAAGAGAAGGTGAGTCATTTACTAAAACACCCCTATAGTTTCACAGATTTACTAAAAGCTACCCTATAGTTTGTGTTTTACTAAAACTCCCTCTATAGTTTGCAACTGATTTACTTAATTGACCTTCTATGAAGAATTTTTTATATTGCTGTCTGAAAAAGGTAATTTGACCGCCTATACTGAGTGGAAAATGTTTAAGAGCATGGGCCTATGGTATTTTATTGTGAAAGTACCCCTAGCACTCGGGCTTTTAAAATAAACTATTCTTTGATTTTCAGATCTACCACACAATATTTGGTTTCAGCAGAATGAAGAAGAAGAGAGAATAATGTATCCCAGGTTATTAATTTGCACCATGTCTTTATTTTCAGGACCATTGGGTGTTGGTGATTCTGTAAACAGATGAGATGACTAGTCATCTTGGAGCGAATAATTTGATAGTAGAAGGAGATTCCAAGGTAGTAGTGGGCTGGTTGACAAGTCCAGAAACAGCTTGTTGGGGCTACAGGGATCTGTTAAAAAAAGTTAAATGGCTGACAAGAAATATGTCAGTCAGGTTTCAGTGAGTCAGCAGATCAGCAAATGCAATGGCTGATTCTCTGGCCAAGCAAGGGGTGTCAAGGGGAGATCTGTTTTGGGCCAATTTATAATTGTGCTTCAGGCTGGTGTATGTTCAGTAGTTATGGTTCAGTCCTAGGGGGTGGTAACACCTCATGCCTCCTCCTAGGCTGACTATTGTTGTTATTTGAATTAATAAAACTATTCTCATTTATCAAAAAAAATTGCAACAACATGTCTTCCTTCTTCAAATAGAGAACAAAATTGATCGAAAAATGTTGTCGCCCATGTTTTATTAGGGGCAAGAGTGACATTTCCATTTATATTTTCTGTAGATTAAATTGGTCCAAATGGATGCTAAGGCCAAAATTGTCACTTTCCACTTTAATCTAATGGAAGGTTGATTAAGTAAACCAGTTGCAAACTATAGGAGCTGTTTTAGTAAAACACAAACTATAGGGTAGGTTTTAGTAAATCCATTAAACTACAGGGTGTGTTTTTGTAAATGACCCTTTTTTGAAAAGGAATAAATTTCACCTTCAAGAAAGAAAACAACTTCTAATAGAACAGTGAAATACAAATTGAATTACAAGTCACTATCAGAAGTCAGATCCAAACAATGACCTATCTCTTCAAATTCAGGGTGTGCCATCAGCCAAGAGCAGATATTAGCTACTGCCCTATTAGTATACTGCTTCCCTTGTGTTTTTTCTCCATGTGAAAAAAAAAAAAAAAAATCATGCAGCTTAGCAGCTTATGAAGCATAGGCTGGTCATGTACAAACCTTTAGTTTTTTTTTTCTATCAATTAGAAACCTTTAGATTTCATATGGTCAATTGTCAAAACACTGTCCAAAAACAGCATCCATGCCAAAACTTCACCTCTACAGCCCCAACATTCTTTCCACCATTTACCATCAAATGCATGAAGATAGATTCTCAAATAAGCCTCTCAAATGTACAACACAACACAACCTTTTAGTTTTTTTTTTTCTATCAATTAGAAACCTTTAGATTTCATATGGTCAATTGTCAAAACACTGTCCAAAAACAGCATCCATGCCAAAACTTCAACTCTACAGCCCCAACATTCTTTCCACCATTTACCATCAAATGCATGAAGATAGATTCTCAAATAAGCCTCTTAAATGTACAACAAAACACAACCTTTTCACCCCTTATTTCAACCATTGATTCACCATAATATCTTTATAACTCAATCAACAAAATCTAGGACAAATATCACACAATTTGCAAGCCCAAATCATGATACCTTTCCAATTTCATACCCACTAAAGATATTGTAAAACCAGCAAAGAAAGAATGAAATTTCATGATACCCTCCACAGACATACCACATAAGTTGAAAATACCAGTCTAGAATCTCATTCAAATCTTACTTCATATTTACTTACTACCACTTTCCTCTACAGTGGCTCCCCATCTGCGCCAAATCTCCAAACCTCTACTAATTACTAATCTTTTCTAAGCATAATGGTTTTCAGCATTATTTTACCAAAAAATAATTAGTGAAATATATACATATCATGGTCCACAGTTTCTTCAGTAGGACATGGCTGAAACAAATATATAATACCCACGTTATGTTGTTCCAGAAGTAAGCCTTCTTTTGTGAATGATTATAGAGCCATTAGCCTCAGTGTTTTAAAACGCGGAGGTGTGATGCGAGGCGTTCCACTACCTAGAGGCATGAGGCGTAATTCAGAACGCAAGAGGTGTAAACCTCCCGTACACAAGGGGGCGTAAGCCTCCTTAAGAGGAGGGGGTTATGAGGAGGATGAAAAGGAAGGGGGGATCTCATTTTTTCTTTATTTTTAATACTGTACCAGGAATAAACATCCCATTCAAGTTCTTTCTTTCTCAGAATATCCTTACCAAGCTACAAAATGTAGTCAGAATCCATGGAACTGCACTCTCTCGAGAATAATGGAATCTCCCCCTTTTAAAAAGACTTTCATAACTGTTAATCTAGGAGTCTACTCAAAGAAAAACAGTTTGGCCTCAACAGACATGGGTCATTTCCAAGGACATAAGGGACAAAAACCCATGATTGCTAATTCTGAGCAGGACAGGGAACTGTGAAAGTTTTAAAGTCTAAGGTCCAGAATTTCACAGAAGGGATATAGAACTTAGCAGCAACGATGGGGAAGAAAAGAAAGAAAAGAAAGTGGAAGATAAAGTGATTACCCAACTTTGCTGCTTATAAGAAAATGTCCCCTGCTAGCATGTTTAAGAGATATATTTATTTTTCTATCAACATACCAGATGCCATTTATAACAGATGAAGTGGCTGAACTGAATGATTTATTGTTTTGTCTTTTAATGAATAAGTTATTAAAGTAGGTAGCAAGCTCCTTAATGGTTCAATGGCATGTTTGGTTGATTATTGTACCCCCTAAATATTTTATTTAAATGACTATTTTATCCAATAAAAAACAAAGAAACAAATCTTTAGTTCAGCTACTTCAGCTGCTATCAAATGTCCCCTTAGTTTATCAAATAATCCCAGTTCAATCATGAGTGGTTTTGTAGATTTACCTGGTACGTGCAAATGGTCTGTCCTTCTCAAGTTCTAACTCCTGTTGCCTAGCTTCAGCTTCCCTCTTCTGAGCCAAGCCTTTGCCCCATTCTAACTTCTTTTCCTGACCAAGGTGACAGGAGGACTTATCAAATCTGAGGGTCAAATAATGAAAAAATTTATAATGTAACATACACTTTAAAAACCAAAGCGTGTAATTTTAAGAAAAGAAATAAGTAGAATACAAGCAACAGATTATGCGAATACAAAGATAGATGATATAGATTACGGTACATACAATCAATTTGTTGAATGTATGGCATTCTATACTTAATAGTTCAAGCACAAATGCAATAGAGATAACTTGCCCCTTTTTCTTTTCCTCTTTCTCAGAGATAATCTAGTTGAATTGCAAACTGTGATTACAAGCAAATTGCACTATGATTTGAACAATAAAGCTAGTACAATAGTTAAAATTTATTAGTACCATGCAAGTATTTTATTTCTTTTTTTGAAGATAAATAAAAAACAGAAATTTATTAGAAAAAGAAAAGAGAGGAGAATACGAGAAAGGGTGATAAAGATATCACCCACCAAAAAAGACATAAAAAATCAACACCAACCAGCCTTCCAATAATAAGAACCTCCCAAGCCCCAACCCAAATCTATGAAGACATCAGAGAGCCACCCAACAAGACCTCGACACATCCAGAAAATTCAAACTCACCCAAACCCAAAAACTAAAAATACTCCGCCCTGAAAGAAGCTGAAAAGGAATCTTCAACTCTTGATGGTTCAACATTATTTTCCTGATGAACCTTCTTCCCTACCTTTCTCACTTTATCCAAAACTACCTCACCCTCTTCCTCTTGGCCTTTATCAATCTTTTCACAACCTTCACTCTATTTCTCCAACTCTCCCCTCTTCAAATTATTTTCTTCTTCTTGAGAAACCAAAGCCATCTCCCTTAAATTCCTCTTAGAATCTTTCCTTCAAAATATCAAGTGAATTGATCTTCTCAGTACCTTTCTGAACTTTGTTTTTCGTCTTCACACCCTTCTTATAGACTTCTCTTGAATTTATTGATTGGACCTGCAACCAGAGGACCATCCTTCAAACAATTAAAGACTTTGGTGACTTGAACCAAGTGTCCACTGCATGCACTTTTGTATTACTTCATAGATAAGATTTAATCCAATAAAATTCTGCAAAATAATTTCAGATTTAAGCAAAGAAAGAAAAGGAAGAGGAAGACAGCGAGAAAGAAGAAGAAAAAGAAGAAGAAGAAGAAGAAGAAGAAGAAGAAGAAGAAGATGGAGAAGAAGGGAGAAAAGAAGAAGAGTTCGATTTTCTCCTCTTATACCTCTCTTAACTTTTATTAATCTTACTAAAACTGCTCAAAATACAAGTCTGCCCTTAAGTGGGCAGCCAGCTCATCAATCTACATGAAAAAAGGATTAACAGGCCCATAAAGAAAAGCCCATTAACAAACAAAGCAACTAGGAAGAACAATAATGGGCAAGGGCCCATTCAATCCAGTCTCTCTACATTCATGTTCTCTGGTGTGTTGTCATCAATATTAACCACTTCAAATCCATTTCCATTCCTTTTCCGCCCCAAAGCAACCCCTAATTTGCCCACCATCAACTCAAAGACATCTCCTGAACTTCACGACTCTCCTTCAAAATCTGAAAACTCACAAAGGCTCACTCTTTCCACCTCTTCCCCTTGTTGAGCACTACGGACATTCTCCAAGCTTGTTGAAGCATCTAAATCTGACAACACTACCTCTGTGGTTTCACCACAAGAACAGTCATTCACCACCACATTCATCGAATCCAAACTTGCCATATTCCCTGAAGAACCCAAAAAACGTTTCTTCACCATGAGACAAACACTCGTATTGATGCATAACCCCCACTCAATCTTGCTTAGGTGCACTTAGATTTGTGGAACTAACCATCTTTGATGCATTATGTCCATCCATCCCCATCAAATGGTGAAGAACTCGCCCTACCATCTTCCACCACCGCCCCTTCTTCCACCTTTTGAATAAACCTGGTGATGATCCATTCCCATTTCTCATCGTTCTCCTTTTTCTCAATGCTTCAACAAGCTTGGAGAATGACCATTCTGTCTTGATGCATAACCCCCACCCCATCTTGTATGATTGTGCAAGTATTACACAATCAGACAATCTTTTACTCTCTACGTGCTTAGTAAGAAGTTCCAAACTCGACATTAATGTAATGAATTATAAACTTGGAGCCATGTTTTATGAAGATTCTATTTGTATTGTTCAAAAAGGAAAATCCATTAAATGAAGGATCAACACTTCACTTGGAAAGAAAGCTGAAGACAAACACTACATTTAGTTATAACAAATACAAGAGAAAAGAAAACAAAATAGGAGAGAGAGAGAGAGAGAGAGAGATTTTTAGGAGTGGGACCAGTTTTGCCTCAACTGTCATTTCTCTTTTGGTTTCCCTTGTCAGTCAAACTGAAGAAACTCACTTTCTTTTATATTTTTCCCCTTTTGCTTCAGTTTTCTTCTCAACCAAATGGACACCAAGAGGATTTAGTCCATGGTAGGGCTGTACAGTGTTAAAAGCACAAGGTGCAAAAAAAGCGCAAGGGCCAATTTGCGCCTGAGGCGCAAAGTCAGAAAATTCAAAAAATATTAAACATAATTTTAACAAAAAATATAAACTTAAATTTTAAAATAAATGTTTTAAAAAACCTATTATTAAAATTAAAATACATAAACATAACATGTAAAGCATATTCAAATGAAAATTTAAAAATAAAAGCAAACATATAAAGCATTTTCAAGCATGTAAAACCCACAATCTCTTTTCCTCCTTAATTGCATTGCTTCAAGTAGCTAATGTGATGTAAAACATATTGCATTCTTGATTCTATGAGTCGCCTTTGTACCAAGCCCCTCGAGGCAAGCCCGAACAAGTATATGTTGGGTCTGAAATTCTTATTTCTCACATAAAAATAATGATTTTATAACTTTCATTGCCTTTTAAGAAGATATTTATTGCAATGAATGAATGAACAACATTAGCAAATAGGCACAAAATTTTAAAAATGTGCACGCCTGGGCTGAGGTGCAAGGCGCATCAGGCGCACGCCTAGGTGCACCAGCTGTGCGCCTTTTCAAAGGGGTGCGCCTAGGACCTGGGCAAGGCGCATACCCCAAAATGCGCCTCGCCTGTGCGCCTAGGTGCGCCTTTTAAATCACTGGGGCTGTAAACATTGTCCTTTTGTCAGAGATCAAATTTAAGTCCAATCAGGTCAAGGCAATCCAAATTAATTAATTTATTATTGAATCAAGTACGAATACACCCCAATCCAATATAAATGTGGGCGAGTGGGTTTGCATAAATTAATATATATTTATTAGGAAAGTTGGTTGCCATGTTGTATTATTGCTAAATAAGTATATGTTTACTTCAAATTCATTTTATTAATAATATATGGTTTCTGATAATTTCATAGTACTTTTTTTGATAATTAACTAATGCATTTCATTGAGAAGGAAAACACCCTACTGCCTTAAAAAGGAAGGACTATAAGTACAAGAAGGCTTGTCTCAGCATAGCCTTAATACAACAACAAAAACAGACTTCTACATGATACACCCCAGCCCTAGACAACCCCAATCAAGTAATTATCTCCCAACCCCTGCTCTTGTTAAAGAATCTGCCACCATGTTTGCACTTCTAGGAGCCCATTTGAATGAGATATTCAATGTAGCACCTAGGTATTTACCCAGCCTCACCAACAGCCTGCACACCTACAGAGCCTTTTCTTGTGTTACGTTACCATCCAACCTGTAACAGGTTGACAGTCTCTTTCCACAATCACACCACTCAATCCATGCTGCCACAGCAATTTTACACCTTGAATTAGAGAGCTAACAAATCAGTTCTCAGAGGATTACTTTAGAAATAACGGGCTGAATGGGCCTTAGTTTCTTTGTTTTTCTTTAAGTTATGTTTATGACTTGTGTTAGTAGGTAGTGGGCCTTAGTTATGGGCCTGTTTTTTCTTTTTTTATTTTTTTATTGCTGTCTTTAGTGATAGACGCCCTACTAAGGACACTCATGTAATTATCCCTATTTTTTACAACAAAAGAATAAAAGAGATCATTGGAGGAAGAAAAGAGGTTTTGAACTACTCTCTCTTCTTCTTCCTTTCCTTCCATCTTCTTCCTCCATCACTTCTCTCACTTCAATCTCCTTCTTTTCTCCTGTTTCTTTTCTTTTAATTCAGATTCTTGCAGGTGTGATTTACAACTTGGTATCAGAGCAGGTTCTCACCTTCTTTTCTTTCTTCTCCCTTTGCCCATACATAATGTGTATGGAGAATTGATCAGCTGATTTGGGAGCAGATTATGTAGCCTAGTTGGGAGGGGTTTTGGAGAGATTTTGTGAATTTTTCATCCCCAATTGAAGCCCAAGGCAAGTTCTTGGAGTTTTTTCCCAAAAACCCTAGACAACTAGAGAAAACTAGTTACAGGTCCTAGAGACACTTTGAAGCTAGTGCTTAGGGATCAAAGGGTAGCCTTTTGGTTTTCATTAAGGGAAATTTGAGTTTGACAGGGTTCTAGAACCTCTAGTAGGAGCGATTGAACTTTCTCCTCTTCTTCCATTCGAGTAGGTCCTATGAAACTCTAGATTTGGTTGTTTGAAGAGTAGTTTTTTGCTTAGATAGCAAATCTAGCTTAGCTGAGACTTATTTTGATTACCATTTCACTCAATGGAGCAAACTAGAGAAGAAACCAAATATCCCACAGATTCCAGGTTTGGACATGGGGGGTCAACGGAGAATCTTTTTGAGGCAGTGGCCACTGTGAAGCTGGATGGGACCAATTATTTATCCTTGTCTCAACCTATTAAGATACATGTGTGTAGTAGAGAGAAATGGGGTTGCATCACCGAGAGCAAGAAGAAGCCGAGGGAGGATGACCCTACCTATGAGAGGAGGATGAAGGAGAACTACAAAGTAGTGGGTTGGTTAGTGAATTCTATGCAGCCACATATTAACTAGAACTACTTGTGGATGGAAACTGCAAAGGAGATATAGGATAGTGTCACAGAGACCTATTCCCAAA